CCAGGTTGCAGCGCTTGTGGGAACATCTCAGGTTTGTGGAAGGTCGGCATGTAGACAGGAGGGGAGGGCGCCAGGCTGTAGCCCTGGCACGTCACTGGGATGGGCAGGGCAGGGGGGGGCACCAGGGGCTGGCTCATGTCGTACATCATCCCCTCTGTCTCGTTGCTGTAGGGCAGCAGCAGCCGTTTGCCTTTCTGACGCCTGTTGCAGAACCAGACCCGAACCACCTGCAGGGAGGGAGATGGGCAAAGGTGAGGGGGTGACCCCGGGCACCATGTGGGTGATAAGGAGACCCTTCTGCTGGTGGCATCTCCACAGCTCCCCTTGCTCCTTTCTGAGCTTGACTCCAACAGACTCCAGCCACTACCACTTTCCCACAGCTTCCAGTATCAAACCGGCCTGATGCGGTTGCCCAGGAGCTGCTGCCATTTGGGCACTCACCCTCCACACCCTTCCAACCTACGTCTTTGTCCAAGTTGAGGTCCTCGGCAATCTGGGAGATCTCCTGGGGACTGGGCTTCACACACTTGCGGAAGAAGCTCTCCAGTGTTCCTTTCACGTTGGTCTCAATGCTGGTCCTGCGTTTCCTCTTCCGGGCTTGGGCCAGGACTTGCTCCGCATTGCACAGCTGGGAACAAGAGCGAAAATATTCAGTCACCAGGTAGATAAGTCTCCACCAGGTTCCAGACACGTGTGGCTGGCTGTAGAGCTCTGGGGACAGACTGTGTCCCTGTGACTCTCCACTGAGCACCACCCCACTGTGACTGGGGACATTTCCAATGTTCCAACACTGCCAGCAGCTGGTATGGGGAGGGTGGACATGTCTTCCTGCATTCCCCTCCCCAAGGGAGCAGCATACCACATATCAGCGTATCTGAGATTCCAGCAGGACCTGGCTGCTCCAAGATGGGAGCTGCCATGATCACAAGGTGTCAATGAGGGGATTGGACTCCCCCTCCCAACTGGCAAAACGTGAAACCCAGTGGTTCTCTCCCAAGGTACATTGAAGCCAGGGCAGTGAGAATCTGATGTGGCACAAGAGGCTTACTGCTCCCCTCTTCTCTCTCCAAAAAGCACGTGGGAAAGAGGGAGAAGCTGCACCTTGAGGGTTTGCAGGTGTGGGGTACCCCAGCTCCCAGCACCCCCAGCCCCGCACCTCTTGCATGTTGTCCGTGTTCTCTGCCTCGTTGAGCCAGCGCTGCAGCAGTGGCTTCAGCTTGCACATGTTCTTGAAACTGAGCTGGAGTGCTTCGAAGCGGCAGATGGTCGTCTGGCTGAACATCTTCCCTGTGAGAGCGGGGCATTACACACTGTGGGGCTGCCGCCGCCACCCAGGTTCTGCCCACCCCAAGCCTCCTCTGTCCCTGGGGAACCAGGAAGGGGATTCTTCCTGCTGCTTCAGCAGGGATTTAAAGCCCTGAAACGCTCCTCAATAAGCAGCTGTAGCTATTTTAAATCAGTTCCCTGTTAAGGAACCCTTCGAGTAAGCCCTGCGGCTGGTGGTACTTGTCGCTTCCTTTGCGGGTCGTTAAGCACCAGAAATCTCCAGACCCCCGGGTGATTCCATTCACCTCCCTGTCCTCTCCCTTGCCCCTGGCTGTGGGCGGGAGAACGAGTGCCCTCCACGGCCCTCCCTCAACCCTCCCCGGCCCCTCACCGTAGAGGATGCCCAGCGCCAGCCCCACATCAGCCTGGGTGAAGCCCAACATGATGCGCTTGTGTTTGAGGTCCTTGGCGAACTGTTCCAGCTC